ATAATGTGTGTGTTAGTTACACAGGTTTTGCAATTTAGAACAATTAGTTTGGGGCAGGCTGAGTAAGTTTGATGGACATTTAAGGGGGAGAATATTAAGTTTTCCGGGACGTCTGAAAATCTACTTTTGACAAATGTGACATAATTGGGCACTTATTGGCTTCTCTGAGGCTTCATTTTAAGTTTTCAACAGTTGCTTTGTCTGTTGCTTGATATCCAAGATTAACTTTTAGTTTTCTGTTTCCCTTTAATATATGCTTAAATTGGATAGATAACATCTTTATTCGTCGATAAGTGGTATTCTTGATTCGGAAAATAATGTATGGTGTTGTTTCTCTCTTTAGTTGGATAATTGTGTTAGTAAATGAAGTGATATATTTAGTTCCTCCTTTTCAAAATGAATGCCTATTTGACTCTTTCTTCGTTGCAAAGTTTTTCCATTTATGTATTAACTTCCCTTAATTGTTGGACAAAAACCTCTTGGAATGATAAGAAAGTAATTACAAGTTTTAAACTTGGCATTGAATAAACCGAAACAACTCTTGCTCTGAAAACCTAATATTCAGTAACTATTGTTGAATTAATAGATTTTGGAATACGAAGAAAGGACGCTGTATTGTCACATGTTTGTTGAATAGTTCCACTATGCAGCATGTCATCTTGAAGCATAATACTTTTTAACTCTTTTTTGTAGAATTTGGCTTCTTGGCCGACTTAAAATGCAGTACTTTGACCATCTGGACGTAGTAGACTATGGCTGGTCTGTGATTGAGTACCTTGAGGGATTGCATTGCACATTTAGTGAGTTTGGTTTTATAACTAGTTAATGCCCTACTTAGTAGAGGAAGTTAATGGGGTTCTTGGAATAACCTCCTTCCATCCAAGAATTTTCTCTGCGTTCAGAAATTAGAGCAATATGTTATTTGACGGTTGAATATGTTTCAGTTCAATCAACTGTTGTACTTTTAAAGTTTCAGCTATACCACAGATTTGAAATATTATGTTTTATTACCATTGTTTACCTTATGTATCATATTCAGTAATGTGTGCAATTGTGGCATATTGGATAAAGCCTTGATCATTGTCATTTGTCTTGTTTCTTGCTTGCATGTCAATTGGTGTTTACCAATTGAAGATAAGCATATCTGCTTCTTGTGTGTACTGGATGATTTCTTACCTTACATCAGTTATTTTTCCTTTGTCACCTTGCTTGTTGTACTTGATTTCCTTTATTTTATTTAAATACCTTATCATCTTTGTGAATTTCTAAATGAGCAGAATTAAGACAAGTAAGAAACCTAATTTACAATGAATATCTCACTCAGTTTACTTGCATGCAGACTGACACTCGAGTTGCTGCCCAGCTATTGGAGAGTATAATCTTTGTAATAGACTCCGTCTTGCCCATGCTTCGTAAACTTCCACCAAGCGTTGTTGAAGAACTTGAACAAGATTTAAAGCAAATGATTGTCCGCCATTCTTTCTTGACTGTTGTTCATGCTTGCATCAAGTACTTTTTCTCAATCAAGCTTGTTATATACCTACCAAGAAATATTGATGCTTTTACCTGAGTTTTGTATTGTAATCTGAATGGGAAGTGCTATACATTATGCTGTCGAGTATAAACTAGGTTTCTTTTCTACTACCATATCAAATAGTGAGAATTTTACTCCTTTCCGATTTAGAAATGTTAAGGGTTTTTTGATTACATTTGGAGCTATATCTCTCAACAAGAGTTCAATTTTTGTCATAGGAATTCTTTTATCACTTAGAATCCTGACATTCTAATGCCTTTTTCTTTATTTTGATGGAATTGATGTATATGCTATGTCTGGAGGATAATACTGTTTAGGCAAACATGTTACATATGAAATTTTTGCATACTAGTGTGTACCGGATGTTTAATTTCTCTTGGGATGCTTCCAAATGCTTTTTAACCTTTCTGATTCTTGTTTCTTTTTCTGACAAGATTTTTGACCCTCAAACTAACAGGTGCCTGTGCTGTGTGAGCAAAGTAATGGGGAAAGGTGCACATGTAGTCGAATTACTTATACAGTTTTTTTATAAACGTCTGGATGCATTGGGGCTCGACAACAAGGAGGTTGGTGATAAATTTCTTGAAAGATCAATTAGTATTAAACCAGTAAATGTCATGCCCAGTAGTAAATACCTATCTTAGGCCTAAATTGGTATGGTGGTATTATCTACATTTTGCTGCAGGTCTTTGCCAGTTAGTAATCATTACTTGCATTATAATTATTTTCAGCAAGTAGGACGTTCTCTTTTCTGTCTTGGATTGCTGATACGATATGGGAGCTCATTGCTTACTGCATCTGCTTCCAGCTACAAAAATATAGATGTCATTAGCAGCTTGAATTTGTTTAAAAAGTATCTCCAGGCTGAGGACTTCATTATTAAGGCTAGAGCACTGCAGGTGAGTCCCCTGTGCTGTCTCTCTGATATATGTCAGTTTTTTTGGTGCAAATTTTTACTATTTGTTCTGTTTATCTTTTCAGTTTACTTTTTTTCAGTGTGAATTTTAGCCACATAATTATGTATTTCTGCAGGCTTTAGGATATGTTTTAATTGCTCGGCCTGAATGCATGCTAGAAAAGGACGTTGGGAAAATTTTAGAGGCAACACTTTCTTCTAGTACTGATGCTCGTCTCAAGGTAACATCCACTACCTATGTTTCTACTGTAACTTTCCATGATTCGAATTAAGCTGTTTGTTGCACAGATGCAATCATTGCAAAATATGTATGAGTATCTTCTGGATGCGGAAAGTCAAATGGGAGCTGATAAAGCTGGTAACATGGAGGATATTGGCTCAACAGATGATGGCCACGGTGTTCCTGTAGCTGCAGGTGCTGGTGATACTAACATTTGTGGTGGTATAGTTCAGTTGTATTGGGATATGATCTTAGGAAGGTGTCTGGATGTGAATGAACAAGTGCGTCAATCTGCTTTAAAGGTGAGTTGTTGATTATTTTGTGCAGAGCGTTTGGCAAATGCAATGTTTCATTTTCTAGTTAGCTAGGTACAGTTAGTTTGAATATTCTTAAAAATTATTGATTAATGAGCTAGTAGCTTTAAAGTCATGTCACAGGGATGTCTCAACTTTGGAAACCTCCTATGCAGACTTCATCTGGTTTTACTACCCTGAATGGGCAGGGTTGACCTTTTCTCTTTAACTATTCAAGTTCTTGATGAATGAATGGCTAGGTTATTTCTTTATTTGGCTGTTCCAGATTCCAGAATTTAAATCTATTTTCAGGGTTGCTTCATGCTAAGTTTTGGTGTTTGACTTATTTTTCTGTTTGAGATTATAGATTGTGGAAGTGGTTCTGCGTCAAGGTCTGGTGCATCCTATTACTTGCGTACCCTACCTCATAGCACTTGAAACAGATCCTCAGGAGGCAAATGCTAAGCTGGCTAATCATTTGTTGATGAATATGAATGAGAAGTATGTTGCTTTATAATTTTTAAAACTATTTTACCTCTCGATACTTTCAATTCCTCTTAGCAGCGCTTTTGTACAGGTACCCAGCTTTTTTTGAAAGCCGTTTAGGAGATGGTCTTCAATTGTCATTTGTGTTTATGCGGTGCTTGAATCAAAATTCTTCTGCCCATTTAGACCCAAAAGCTGTGTCAAAACTCTCTGGTAATCTTAAAGGAAAACCTGATGCTAGCCCCTTTGCTTATGCGAGGCTTGGGATTTCTCGAATCTACAAGCTCATCCGTGGTAATCGTGTGTCCAGAAACAAGTTTATGGCCTCAATTGTTCGGAAATTTGACATGCCAAGCTGGAATGATTCTGTCATCCCTTTCTTAATGTAAGTTCTGCTACTAATACCCGTACTGTAGTACATTGGATCTGTTTCATTAGTGTATTGAAGCCAGTGGTGCCTTTGTTTTTGTAGATATTGCACGGAAATTCTGTCATTGCTCCCTTTTACATTGCCTGATGAGCCTCTTTATCTCATCTATACTATAAATCGAGTTATACAAGTTAGAGCTGGAATACTTGAAGCAAACATGAAAGCATTTTTGCATTTGTTAAGAGGAGAAAACCAGGAAATTGATGGAAACGGAATTATTCGGCCTGATCCTTCCACACTAGCTCATGAAAGCAATGTGAGTGAGCAAATACCTGAAGATTTAGATGGGCAAAGTCCATCTAGGTATGCATCGAAGGATTTGGGAATGCCTGATATCACCACAGGCAACTCTCATGGTATATCTGGAGGTGATCTGCAGAAGATCCAGGTATATGTTTGCTTCACTCTAGATTGCACACATTCTTAGCATGTGTAGATTAGAAACAGGCATAGTTTGTATCTGCTTATGAGTTATATACATGAATTTTCTGTAGCTAAGTAGTGAAGGGACTAAAAAGGAGAAAGGAGGTACTCTGGATTTAATTAGCTGAATAGCAGCATGTCAAGAATTATCAAAAGTGACAAGCTTGTTCAGAAGAAATGATATTTTGGACTCATATATGCTGTGGTTGAAAATTTGTGATTTGATGGACTTGTTTTAGCTTGAATACTAATCAAGAATCTTAGGTCTAACAGGAATTTGTTGTTCAGCATCTTTTGGTGAAGAAATAAATTGGTTTTAATAGCATGCATTGAAATATGTTGGATCTGTTGCTGCTTATGCAGGCAGATTGTCTCGCTGCTGGTGCACTGCAGTTACTTTTGAAGCTCAAGAGGCACCTCAAGATTGTATACAGCCTAGACGATGCCCGTTGCCAAGTAATATTTGTTAGAATGCCATTGTTGCTTTTAAGATCTTCAATGAACGTTATTTCAGGTGAAAACACCGTTTTTTATTTTCCTCTTACCAGGCATTTTCTCCAAATGAACCCCCAAAACCAGGGGACTTTCTCTCGAGACAGAATATGCCCTTCAACATCAGTGATGTTACCATTGATCCACCTAGCAATTATGAGGACTTGTTACAGAGATACCAGGTAATTCGACTATTTCTTAATGCTATTCAGAAGCATGTTAAGCTGATAGCTTCTGCGTCATTTGCATCATCATTATTAACTCTTCCGTTTCTATTTCGTGTATTGCATGTCCTTACTAAAACTTGAACAAAAAATGTCGTCGTACCTGGAATCCTTTGTACTTGATCAATTCTTTTATCCGATCCACCACGAATACATCCCCATCATCATCAATGTATCCAACGTCACCGGTATGAAGCCACCCATCTTTGTCAATTGTAAGGGCGGTTTCATGTTCATTCTTGTAGTAACCTGAAATTTTTTTTTTTTCCTCGTGTTGTAATAATGCAGCAATGGCTTTTGCTAATCCAATTCAGTTCACGGTGTTGAATTTTGTACTCACCTTTCATCACACATTGGCTTCGAACACAAATCTCACCGGGGGTGTTCTTGGGTAAAGATCTCCCCGTCTCAGGATCAACAAACTTCACTTCCAAATTTGGAAGGATGAATCCCACAGAGTTTCTCTTGGCAATTCCATGGCCTTTACTTGGGTCTCCGTGGCTAATTGTTATGCAGCTGTGCTCTGTCATCCCATACGCCTGTAAGAAAAGAGTTAGTGCAAAAAAGCCCAGTTTTCTCCTAATGAAACCTAATGAATCTGCCTTTTCATTTCAGCAAAGTGATCATAAACAGAGATGCTTTACACACACAATACTTGCCTCTTGTACCACAATACCAGGGAACTTCTTCTCAAACTCGTTGAGAATTTCTGGGCAAGGGGAGCTGCTGCCGTCATGATGGACCTAAGCTTGAGTTTAGTAAGATCAAATTCATCGACTATAGGGTTCTTCACCAACCCGAGAATGATTGGCGGCACAATGGGTGCAAACGTGACTTCATGGGTAATCAATGCGTCCATAAAAGCTCGAAGTTCATACTTGGGCATTACCACGACTTTCCCCTTGTTTCTGATCGTAGCACAACAAATTCCGGTGAGACCATAAATATGGTAAAAGGGTATTAGACCGAGTATAGTGACCTGGCCAATCATTTCAGGTCCCACGCTGAACAATGATGAGCAGAGATTGGCGACCATATTCCGATGGGTAAGCATTACACCTTTTGACAATCCGGTCGTGCCAGATGAGAATGGAAGGGCGCAAAGGTCAGATTGTTGCACCGTTTCGTTATTGCTTCCGGAGCTGGCACGATCTGCAGCTTCAAGTAATTCATCCCACTTCATGGTTCCCTCGATGCGCTCTTCCTCGCCTACAACTATGACTGAAAGCCCCAAATCGTTTACCTGCTATGCCCCAACAAGTGCATTTCAAAGTAAAGCAAGATTTATACAGGTATTAGTAGCAAAAAAAAGATCAAGAACATCTACGTTGAGTTGCTAACTTTAGTACAGTTAACTTCTTGTATTCAATACCTTTTTGTAGGTCGATGCATCAGTGATGATAAGTTTAGCTTCAGCTGATTCAACTTGCTTCTTAATCTCTGATGCATGGGAGGCTGGGTTTGCACCAGAAAATACTCCTCCAGCGGACATGATCCCTAAAGCAATAATGGCATATTCTATGATTTGGCAGCACTACCACCACGACGCATCCTTTCCTCAAGCCAATTGACCGTAAGGCCTTGGCAAACCTCCTGATGTCTCTTGCAACTTCAGCATAAGTGTATCCTTTTCCGGTGGCTGCATCCACAAATGCCACCTTTTCTGAGTACAACTCCGCATTCTGGAGCACAAAATCTGGCAGAGTCAGGTCGCTGGGAATTGAACTGGTGGATATCGACTTCTGAAAACATGCTCTTCTGGATGCAAGCTTTGAATACCAGTACTACCATTGTGGCTTCACGGGATGGATGGATGGACAACCAGAGTTGCTCAAAGCAGCTTTATAGCAATAGCTAGAGGAGTCACAAAGTACTCGTGCACGAGCATTGGCAGCCGCTTAGGAATAAAACCTCGGAACTGTATTGGGCGTTGGCGTTTGGCAAATGGCAAGTGAGAAGTAGTTAAGTCATGTCTTAATATACATCTGTCATCATCTTTAGTTGCAGTAGTTGTCTATTTGGTTTCCTATATGAAATGACTGACATTGTAAAACCGGTGGCTTAGCCGATCACTTTCCACTACAATCCGTCCCCAGCCAAAAAGAAAATTTTGCATCAACTCTTCAAACAACTAAAACCGTGCAGTAACTCTTCAAACAGCTGAAACGCAGGTAAATTACCTGAATCTAGCTCACACAATGACACGCTCGGATTGCATTTTTTCTGATTTTTCGGCTCAGACTGCATTTTTCTGAATTTTTTATAAAAAAAATTACTGTAATTACTTAATACGTGTAAGATAAAAAAATATGTTACGAAACGAAAAACGAAACAATTTTCTTTGAAAAATTGCTTCTTCTTTTTTCCAAACAAAACTCTTCTAGATTCATTCGAGCCCAAGCACGTATAGAGAGAACACAACATACTTCGGACACTACACGATTCGTTAGTCCGAATTGACATTATTATTGATGCCTTCGAATTCTTTTCCCGCACAATGGCCTCCAGAAGCTCCAGTTGACTCTAGGCAGGCCATCATCCATTCACACACTCAAAAAAATGCCCCCTTTGCATAAGTCATCATTTCATCGAGATGACTTGTTGAAAAATTATTTCTTACTCCTCAATTAAATCAACTTTTCACGACACTCAGCAAAATAAAAGAGAGCCTCCATAAAAGGTTATTTTGTTTGAGACCCTAAATACAACGAGATGACATACTACCGTTAGTGACATAAGAAATACACAGCTATGTATTTTAGTAAGAAAACAGGTTAATTCCGCAGCTAATCATCCTCAAAGATCAGGGACACATTTGACCTCTCATATACGGCACGAAACATACGTGGCTGAATTGTTTCAGGATTTTATATGTTACAAAAAGATTCTAGTAGTTGCCCGTAATCAATGACGGAGCATTCACGGGATACAGGACAATTATTTCCATTAATTTAAAAGGATTCCAAAAAGACAGCACAAAAGGGATAGAATAAGCATTTCTACTCTTTCCCCCTAAAGAAAATGGATGTGTTAAAAGAAAAACAAAATGCTTGAATGACCAAAAATAGGCAGAACTGATGACAAAACAACTAGTAGACAAGGAAATCCTAATAACGGAGCCAATAGGTCCTGCGTCTGAACCAGTTGTAGTCAGGTAAACCCTGGATTGGTCCAAGAGCAGATATTGCAATATCCTGCAATCAAATCAAATTCAACGTTAAAACCATACATACAAATTGAGAGCCAACCATTCCGACTCAATATACTGTAACTGTGCTCTAATCCACACCTTGTCAGATATAAATCTGTTCGCCACACGCTTGATAGTGTTGGCATCTATAGCATCAATCCTGGCAAACAACTCAGGATACGGGATCCTTCTGCCATATGTAAGCAACTGCAAACACAAACCATGACCAGAATTATGTTAAGCTTAGCAAACAAGTCGCAGGGAACAAAAGAATAAAGGTCAGTCCCTGTTCCCCTGCCCAGGGGCAGCTCATTGTAATGGGCACAAGTTCCAAATAATATTCAGCTTCTTGTTCATCACTTTATCAGTAAGCCTTTACTAGTAAAATTGGAAAAAGAAAACACCGAGTCTACTGTCATTTGATACAGGGCATATGACAAGACACTTATCATCTTGAATCCTCTATGCCTTTTTTAATAAGGCCGCTCTGTTTCAAAATCTAACTCATACCTGACGGCCAATATCTTCAGCTACCGGACTTGTTCCATCCAAGTGTAGTAGTAGAGAAGATTTCAACTGAAAGCAAGCACATAATGTAGTGGACACCGAATGAGCCAAAAGAACCGCCTTAAACAAAAAGAATGACCTTGACGTAAACCTAAAGTAACAAACTGGCTGCTACCTGGTTCTGAGCACGTACAACATCCTCCTCTGACACCCGATAAGACAGCTTGCTAATCTCGTACATAATTGCATAAGCTAAATCATCCAAGCAATCGGGCTGTAAAAAATTTCACACAGAGATCAGTTCTATAACTTTTGGAAGATAATGTGCAAACCAAATGCTTCAACTGAGAAGTTTGCACAATCTGAATAAGCCAAATGCAATTTGCAGCAACCAGCAGAAAGGAAAGGACCCTCAGTAGTACCCAACCACAAGATTCTGACTGCTGTAAATATTTATTTAAGTTGAAATATCACATCTTTATCCAAGCCTAGACATCGTGCATATAAAAAACCAGGCGATACAAGAGATCATCCCAGAACAAATTAGATCACACCAGAAAATTTTACTATATTACGCTAAGAAAAAAGGACACATAGCAGAAGATCAGTAAATCCAGTTCTACATCCATATGATGCATTTACAACATCTAATCTGGAAAATCAAACATCACACAGTCATATCACACCACACAGGAAAGAGAGTAGAGAATTTACAGCTACTTATTCTGGTATGACAAGCAAACATTAACCACTTGTTAAAAAACACTATAATCATCCCAAACCTATAGTTTTCTCTTCTTTTTTTTTTTTTTGTAAACCCCCACCCAATAAAAAAGGCAGCAACCCCTCTTCGCCCATTTTGTGGAATTTAAATAGAAAACACCGGGGATTTCAAATTTGGGATTTCTATTTCCCCTTCCCCAAGTGCAAGTTAGAGGAACAGGTGTGGACCTTTGCAACAGCATAGACACCAAATAGACCAGAATCCTTATAGTTGCTGTTGAAAGCCATCAAGCTTTCTGCTATCTCGTTGATGCAACCCTCTGGGCAAGATCAGAGCTGTACATACATATTGAAAATGGTAAGTAAGCAGCAGTTTGTAATCCTGCATAATTAATTCACAACAAGATTAACTAACGCCCATATGCTTCCCCCCACCAGCGCTCTTACTCCAAGATCCTAACATCGACTGCATGACCATTAACGCAATGGAATCAGGATCCGTCCAAGAAGCCCCTTCAAAAGCAACTGCAAATTGGGCAAGTGGAATGTCGTCGTCAATCATCCTCACCAGTGATTACAAAACAAAAGATATTAACAGTGTATTCTTGTGAAGGAAAAGTGTCATGAAGTATTCAAGCAAGAGAAATATACTTCGGAGCCAGTAAAGATAGCTGGGTCTTTAGCAATTAATTCAGTAGTTGTACTTCCAGTAGGAGACAATTCGTGAATAATTTCTTTACTAGATCCACAATTTCCTCATGCTTAACAGCTCCAGAGGCGGCAATTACCTAAAAACAGCAGCAAAAGAAACGTTCAGAAAATATTCTCCGGCAAACTGCAAATGACCAAACAATATGTAAAAACAACATTTAAGCGGAATATTTAATTAACATGAAAATTAGAACTGACTGCCTCAGTCTTACTGTTCTGGGAGCAGAGTAATGAGTAGATATGTAGTCCTTTAGGTGCTGTTTCGTGATTGTCATGATGTTATCTGCAGGTCCAAGTATTGTCCTAGCCAGAGATGAGTGTTGGAATGCAGTAGCATGTAGGTGGTCAAATATGACTTCCTCAGTTTGACCTTCCACCTACAATTAGAGAAGAAACGCTGCAGTTCAGTAAACTCTAGCAAAAGTAAGCTGAAGGTAAAACTCTTAAGCACAGGACATTCAAATAAAACTCATAGATAGCCTGAAGGAGTCTACTTAGGCACACAAATTTAAGAAAATGAGCCATTATATCTGTAACTGCATTTCAAAGTTCTAATTAAGCAAAATATTTATCCAACCCAACATAAGCAAAACAAAAATCAGACTTTTTTCAAAGTGCTTCATGTCTGACCATTTCAGATTGCAAAAGAACTGTACCAATGTCCAGATAGATACGGATGACATCTGCTCAGTGGCACTATCATACTTCTTGTGAAGTACCAAGAAAATGCTCAACTAACACACCAACAACAAATTCTATGTGGATAATCCAAAAAGGAAAAAAGAGCAAACCTCACATCTAGCGCCAATCCTGTGTAACACTTCCCTCTACCCTATCAATCTAAACTAAATAAGAAACTAAAGAACTCCCTAAACCAGTCAATAGACAGTAATGTTTGGTGATCCCCTTAAATCCTAAACCTCCAGATTGAAGACCCATGACAAGAAACCCATAAACGAATAAAAATTTAACTTGATAGCGGCATCACAAAATCATCCTCAAAGACACCACAGCAATGTGGAAAGCTCACCAGTGTAAAAAGAAGAAGAAAGGAAAGCACCTAAATCTAAAATACTACTATCTACCTCCTGCATTTCCCTGAGGATAACATCTCGTTCCCGGGTGATTTTACTCTCCTCAAACTTCGAATTTTGAAGAATATCAGCCAGTATATCCATAGCCCTGGGCACATCCTTTTCCAGAACCTTAGCATAATATGTAGTCTGCTCTCTGGAAGTGTAAGCATTTAGATGTCCACCCATATTCTCAATCTCTTCCTCCAATTCCCTGGCGGCCCGCCTCTCAGTGCCCTTAAAGATCATGTGCTCGAGGAAGTGAGCAGTTCCGTTAGTCTCATCGGACTCGAACCGGGACCCTGCGTCGATCCAGACACCGACGGTGGCCGTAGGGCAGGCGAGATTGGACTCGGTAGCAATGCGGAGGCCGTTTGGGAGAGTGGTGACGCGGGTGAGGGGAGCGGCGAGGACGGGGTATGGTCGACCCGAGCCGGGTGGGGTGCGAGCTGTACTTGAGGAAGCGCGAATCGGGTTGTTCTAGCTGTTTGAGTTTGCTTTTGACGTTCTCAGCTAACCGGTCGTAGATCATGGCTGTCGGGGAGGTGGGGAGAAATTTGATGGAGTTGAAGAAGGAGAGGCGGGGGCGACAGCGGCGGAGGAAGTCGAGAAGGGGCGGAGGTGCTTGGTGGTGGTTCGTTGAGATCGACGAGCCAGGGTAAGGAGGCGGCGGATCGCCATGGAGGCAGGTCGGGTCCAAAATCTGCGGTGTAGCTCTAGGGTTTAGTGGATTCTGGTGGTGCCTCTTAGGAGGAGAAGTAGAAGATGATGATTGATTGATTAACGATTTAAGGGGGCAAGGGAGAAGGAAAGCTGTAGCCGGGACTCAGGAGTCAGGACTTCCCCTGCTTTTACTGTAGTACTTCTCTCTGAAACGATGACGTCTTTGGTTGGGAATTTTTTTCTCTATTAATTAATTACTGGCCCATTAACTCTGAGAGTAAAAATTTATCCACTTTTAAATTTTAGGTGAGAAAAACCTTTTTTTTTTTCAAAGTGAAGATACCTTCAATGAATAAAAGTAAAACTAGTATAGTCTCTTTTAAAAAGTTAATAAGGAAAAAAATTCTTATAAAACCAACAAAATAAACCAATAATCAGTTAATGAGTAAATATTATAAACACACTAACGATCAATTATAGTGCATAAAATATTATTGCATAAAAAAATTAATCTATAAGTTAATTTAATTTTTTTACAAAAAAAGTTAGAAATAAATATTCATTCCATTTATTACACTTTTAATTAATTGAAAATAATAATAATAATGACGTGATGTTAAAATTTGCAACGTGGCTTTGACCGAGTTATAGCGCCATTCGCTTCTTTGGGATCATCTAAAAAATAGTTGGGCCGGGCGAAATGAGGGTCGTGACATTTGGGCCGGATGCTAAACTAAGGCGGGCCGAGATCACACGTAAAAGCCTGGATCAAACGCTATAAGCACCCTATATAAATAAATCTCAGTAATAGCATTGCAGTATAAACCCTAGCACGTCCACTTTGGTTTCGCTCTCAGAGGCATCGGCCGCGCCGGCAGAGCTGCTACAGAGACAGATTCGATGATGGCGACTGCGAGGACTGTGAAAGACGTCTCTCCTCATGACTTCGTCAAGGCTTATTCTGCCCATCTCAGGCGATCTGGAAGGGTCAGTTTACCTTCAACTTCCAAATTCTAAAGATTGTGGGATGTGAACCGTTAACTCGTCGTTTTCTGTTAGGTTTCTTTCGTTTCTTACACATATATACGTGTGATGCTCATGAAATGTGCACTTTGATACAGTTTCTTAGTAAGTGTATTTGGTGCTATAATTACCAGCTAAAATGTTGGAATAGCTTTCTTAAGACTTCGTATTCATGGGGTAAATGTCGAAATAAAAGGGAGGGACCTCTAGAAAGAATCGTTCTGAATTGCTATTCGTTGCTGCAAGTATTGTCGATATGATTTTATATGGTTAATATTTTCTGAACTCATGTCAAAAAGCTTCATGGCTAACTGCTGGAGGATTCCTTAAGAATTTCTCAATCCAAAATGCTTAAAGAAGTACATAAATCATGCCTTAACTGGTGGATATGTTGTGTGGTTCCCAGCTGTTATGAATATCTTTGCCTGCATATTACCTCGGTGAACCAACACTGTCTTTGTTAAGCCGCTGCAACATTTATCACTTTCTTTTGTTTGTTTATAATATATATCACCGTCTTTTGTTTAATTGCTGCTCCATAGATGGAACTTCCACAATGGGTTGATATTGTGAAAACTGGTACACTCAAGGAACTTGCTCCGTATGACCCAGATTGGTACTACATCAGAGCCGGTATAACCCTCTTTACCCCTTTGTTTCTTTTGTACTACTCTCTCTCTCTCTCTCTCCCGCCCTCCCTCCCTCTGTGAAAATGTGTGGGCAGTATGGCATGATTGGTTTGTTATCAAGGTTAATTTGTGGATGGGAATTGTTAACATGATGTGACAAGGTCTTATGCCATGACTACTTGCCCATTTTGTTCCATTGCAGCTTCCATGGCTAGAAAAATTTATTTGAGGCAAGGCCTTGGAGTTGGTGCTTTCAGGAGGATTTATGGTGGGAGCAAGAGGAATGGAAGCCGTCCTCCTCATTTTGGTAAAAGCAGCGGGAGTGTTGCTCGCCACATTCTTCAGCAGCTGCAGAAGATGAATATTGTTGATATGGACCCAAAAGGGTGAGATAGTTGACTTTCTGCCTTATTTTGACCTGAATCATCAAACATCAAAGTAACTTGAATAAGTCTACTTTATCAAATTAATCTGCTCCAATGAATTAATGAATGACATATAATATACTTTAGCACTATAGTTTACCTGAATGAGGTGGAGTTATAAAATGTAAATTGCAACATGCTTCATGTGCTATATGTTTACCACATGTGCACTTCATTCACCTGCATACAGTCCTTTTGAAGCGTAAGAGTTTGGTTTAAAACATTATGTCTCTGTTTTAACTCTGATTAGGAACTTAGGATCTGTAGAATGTCCAGGTTTAAAAGGATGCTTGTATGTGAAATTCAGTTGTGACATTTCTGGTTACTTGCATCTCTGGCTATTCTAGTATGTTTGCTAATTCTACCGCATATACTTTGTGTTTCAGTGGAAGAAGAATCACATCCAGTGGACAAAGAGATCTTGACCAAGTAGCTGGCCGCATTGTTGTAGCACCTTGATAGATGAATTAATGAGCTTTTCTACTTTACATGTCAATTTTGATAATATGTAGGCTCTTTTATGTTTTCCATTTCCCTATTTTGCTTCAAGCTTGTGGAAGAGATGTCCTTGGATATTTTGTTAGACAATCTGTCTTGACTCCCGAGTTTTTTCTAGACAAGTTGTACTCCTGTTCTTAAAGGTTCACCTATTGCTTATATTACTCTATTTTATATATTTGTTTACTCTGTTAAATTTTACGACTAGGGGTTCTTTGAACTGAGCGATGTGAGAAAGCTGTTTTTTACAATATTTGTCTCGAATTTTGGTCATTAGGTTTGGACAGGGGAGGCTTATTCATGTGTCTAGAGAATATGGAGGTAGGTTTAAGGCCTTTTTTTCCGTTTTCTTTTTCGAGGTTCAAGCCTTGAAAACATGACAAAGATGAGGGTTAATAGAAACTGGCTTCTTGCTGATAACTTCGAGAATTAGGATGGAGTCGGCCATTTTTATCAGCTATAACACTGGCTTTGGTTCTTTTGAATGTACCAAATCTCAGGTTCAGGGGACTTCTTTGATTGAGTGCATCACTGCCGAGTACATTTCAACGTTAGAGTTGAACGCGAAATTGTTGGGGTGATAACCGGATGTGTTCTTTGGCTTTGGAGGACTAAATGTGCTTTTTTTTTTCAAGTAACTAAATGTGCAACTTATTAAGGCGCAGGAGTTTTATGAGGCCCTATCAATCATCATGCGGGTAAATTATAGGTCGTTTTGAGTTTAGCAAATGCCGTGTAAGCTAAGTCCTACGAGTGATTCATGGATGTTCATTCTATAGCATTCTCCGTTTTACTATTAATAGGCTTGTTTTTTTTTTTTTATCCAGTTCAAATTGTAGTCCACTTTTTAAATAAAGAATATAGTCAACTTTAAACTCCTCTAAAATGCCTTGATTTAATATAGATTGATATTGAGTATATATAACCTAATTTATTTAACGTATGTTGATATTGTATGGTGCAATTTTCATCAAAATATTATTGTTATAGTTAATACAAAGCTAATTAGTTATACTACATTTACAGGTACTAATAACTACATTTGCTCATGTGTTTGTATTTCAATCGTGATATTCTTAAAGGATTAATCTTTTATATACTGAAAGTGTATATATCATCATCACCATTGAATAAATGACAACTCAACTGAATTTAAAATTAATATTCAAATTTTACTCATGTGTCATGCAATTAATTATGATTGTGTGTGTGTATATATATATATATGTGATTTACTCTTTCTTAAATTGTGTGAAAAAAGTCAGGACTAGCAAAATGAGATGAAGGGAGTACCTGTTATTGTGATTAAATCAAAGCACTGAAATTGGTAAAGAAACTTGTAGTTTGCCGCACGGGAGAAAACAAGGCGCTGAAATTCCAAACAGATGAACAACACGAGGAAAACAGGCTGAACGATATGAAGCATTCATTAACATGGCACGCCGTCGTGCCAAGGAAAAAAATATAGCAACACGCTGTTTGGCAAAATTCTGAGAAACTTATTTCTTTCATGTACAAATAATAAAAGAATGCTAAAAAAATCAATAAAATGTGCTGTAATTCCCAGCATGTTCTCATCTAAGTCTCTTTCTTTAGCCACCCCTCACTGTAGCTCCGCGTACAAATCACTCCAGGACATGCAAGATTTGATCTTCTTGTGTTGAGGTAGGTGGAACTTAGGCTCTCTCGGTATGGTAGGATGCTTCGTTGACCTATCAGAAACCAAAGACAAAACTTAACAAAATAGTACTCTTTTTATGTTTCTAGCCAATGGACCAAAGCTACCTTCTAGGGATGAAAGGCCTGTCGAAGTAAGGCAGTGGTTGAGCCTTGGGAATGAGCTCCTTTCTAAGCCTTCTAAGCTCCTCTTCCTCTTCCAACTACACATTTGACAACAAACTCGTTTAACTAGAGTATAAACCAACATTTACTCCACCAGATAATAACTATATCATATGTAATTTACCTTCTGCAGCCTCTCCTTTTCTAGTTTATACTGTTCAGCAAGGCTCAACTTTTCTGCCACCTGATACCGAGAATAATAAGTATTGAGCATTACTAGGTAGAAACTTAAACAGGATTTTGGAGAGAGTGTTACCAAGTCCAGCACTATAAAAGAGCTCGTAAAATGAGAATGACTAACTATAAGTTCAACCTCTTTATAAAATAAATTGAAATTACAAGGTCAGGTCACAAAGAAATTGAAACCCTGCCTGATGATCGAATTCAGCACGCTCCACAGCCCTGATATCACTGTGCAGCACTAAGTCAAGTGCTCTGGTAATGTCTTTAACTGGAGGCTTTACCAAACACTGTAAACAAGAGAAAACAAATAAGCATTATCTATGCAATAGGTGAAAACACACGGCCCTTATTATAAAAACTAATTACTTGCAAAAAGCACAAGAATCAGGTACTGGCTTAACAACATTGTTCTGTTAATAAAGCACTTGACTAAATCATGGTTCATTAGGAGTTATTCCTATTAGTCATCTCCTGGTAATACTCTAAATTATACTAGTCTTTGAGTAGCAGTTTAGGCATGATAAACTCGCCTGAAATGCAATTTGGCAATGTAGATTTCAATATTGAATCAACTCAGTATAAATTCAAGCAATTTATTTTCTTTCTTTCACCATTGCAGCCACAGCTTAACTTTGAGGTTCAAGAAGAAACTACCTCTGGCTCATCTGTTGTCCAAGGAAGACCTTGTGCAATTGGTATGCGCAGCTTCTCCTCTTCCTCCATCATCTGTTTAACTTTTTTGAGGAATTCTTCTTGTTTACAACTTCCTCTTTGCTGCAACCAGGTCAATTGAAAATATACTCAACGATGAGGTGACTTGAAAATGCAATTCCAAGAAACGATGCTCATTATGAGAGGAAAAAAGGTGAAATATTTGTTTGAAAAACTAAGAAGGATGCCGATGGGATAAGTTCAAAAGCTTTGGAGAGCATACTTCTTATTGTTATTCTAATACTTGCAAAAGTAGTTTGAAAAACTAGGAAAGACGCCAATGGGATAAATTCAAAAGCTTTAGAGAGCATACTTCTTATTGTTATTCTAATACTTGCAAAGGTAGTTTCGCACAGAAAATGAAACTTCATTAGGAGATAGACATATACCACTAATTGTTGCGAGTAATAGCTAGATAATAAAAGATACAAAGACTTCTAGCTAAACTGACAACAGCGCACCCACCTTCCACCAAAATATGCACCAGAAGCACTCAGTTAAACTCACAAATCTCTATGTGGAAGCAACCAAACAACTTTATTAATAATATAACACAAACCTCAGTTCTAAGATTGAATGGTTTCTGGAAGGTTTGTTTCAGATGCTTTCTCTTCCAATGTCGACTAGCAAATGTCCCAGATGACTCAGCACTCTGCATCGGGAATGAAAAGTAAAATCATCCTACCTACCATACTTTTGATAATTACATAAGGTCATGAATTGGAACAAAATCCTTACATTTCTTCGGCTTCTTCGACCACCACCAGAGTTCCTGCTAGAAACGCTGAAGGTAGAAAAAGTCAAAACACAAACAAAATTATATTGTAATCAGGAAAACCTACTAATAGAAAACAAGTTTCATAAACCAATTAAAATTGCATCACCAACCTTCCTTGACTGCTGTCTAGAGAAGAAGAAACGCGCGAATCCAAACCTAAACTCTCCGAAGTGAGTATAAAATCAGAAGGGCAGAATGAAGACGAAGAGACTTGTGTCTCGGGAAGTAATTGAGGTTGCAACCCAGGCAATGCCCATTTCATTCCTTTCCTGGCGTCCTCTATCTCTTTCTCCTCCTTCTCCTCAGAATCAGCTGATTTTGGGATTGACAAAAGGTTCTCAAAAGCCTTAACCAAATGCAACACTCTTCCAGACCCAGGTTCAGGCACACTCTTCCTTGCATCTTCCAACAACTTGTCCCTCCTCTCTTGATGTTAGAATTAGAAACACCCATTTCACAAGATCCCTCAGTTTCATCTTGGTCATGCTTATCTTCAAATCCACAAGGCTCAGAACAATGATCAAACACTTTATCTTCAAGTCCATTAACAATCCCATCCGGGTTTGGAACAGCCTTTTCGCCTTCTTCAGCAGCTCTATCAGTTTTCTCTAACTCATTCGCATCATCATTGTCCAAAACAGCGTTGCCGCCTCTCTTGAAAAACTCTTCTTGCGAAGCCCTAAGGGTATCATAAGCCAAACAAACACACTTCCTCCCTTTATTGTTGCACTTACAAGCCACCGCCAATGAAGAGTTCACTTTCTCTCTCCTCGAATTCTTCTTCGCCACCACGAACTTTCTCTCTCGGATCTTGTTCTTGTTGGAGGCGAAGACATCATGTTAGGGTTAGGGTTGCATTTCTTAGAGGCAGATTTTTGGGTTTTTGTTGCAGATTTGGTTGCTGGAGAATTAGAAAATTTCGAAGCAGGGCTGGACAAATTGGGGTGGAAATTCTCGGAATTTGTAAACAAGTCGTCGGTCTTTGATCTGTTTGGTTTGGGATCCTTCACCGGAGTGTTGGTTACTACTGCTCCGGCTGTCTTGACATCCATCGGAAAAGTTCGCCGGAAAGTGGTTGATATTTCTGTCACTAGGGGTTATACTGAGAAAGAAGGAGTGAAGAAACGGGAAGGGGGTTAAGGCAATAGTTGACTGAATTGTGTGAGGAATTCTTGAATTCATTGACGATGATATGAGAGATTAGCGGAACAGAGAGATGGGGGATAATAGAGGAACGTTACGCTTCCGCGGCTCTTGTAACGGCTAGTTTTTTCTGTGGGCTTCGTTTTTGGAGCGCACGATCTTGTGTTTAACGTGTATGGTGAGGGTCAACCGTTGGATTTGGTCGACTAAGAGTATGAAGGGGCTATGATTCTGATTACCGTTGAAGACGACTTCCCTCTTTTTTTCTTTTTTTTTTGGGTATTTTTAAGGTGGATGATGTTGCTGGTCATCAAGTCTATCGTTGAGGGGCTATACTTTTTTAACTGGATCAGCGTAAAGTAAGTTGGGCTTTGGTCTGGTTTTCGGAGGATACTACCCGATCGGAACCCACGTTATTCATTAATAATGGCCATGACCTTTATAGTAAGATATATTGGGCTAGGCTTTGGGAACCATGATTTGTATGTCCACGATGGTTGGGGCCTGGCGTGGTGCCGGAGAGTGAATTTTTCACGCAATTGGGGCCCACCTACCTTAACCCATAATCTCTGCTGGGATTGCATTTTATTTGACTGGAAATTGCTGTGATTGAGAGTGATCGGTCGATCATTAACATGAGACTACTCAAATCTTTTCTTTTCGTTCATTCATTTGGAAGGCAATGATTAGGTCTTGTCTTAGACACTCAAACCTTTATTGAGACAACAAGCATCAAGCAAGCACGTTCATTCTTAAATTTGAAGGAATTCTTTTGGTCATTTTTATATTTGGAGTCATGGGTTAAAGTTAAATTCTCTAGTAGTACTTTTTTTTTTTTTTTTTATTCTTGTTTTTGAAGGGTTCAATTTTCTCTTTTATCCGTAAATTCACTTTCCCGTAATTATAATGAGAATTGACCTCCTCCGTTCGGTAGTAAATGACAACAACAATAACTAATTGCCCCTTACCTCCTCCTCCCTCTTAATTTGGACACAATTCAATCCAATATTTACAATAAGAGAGTATACTACTCAAATGCACAGAGGAATATCTAAATGATCCCCTTTTATTAATTTTCTTGACTAATATCTATACTAATATATTAGATTGTGCAATTATTTAATTATAGTTATTTACCAATTGAAACGGAAAATATATATTATATATATATATATTGTTGGTGACCTTTTGTATTACCCTTTTTCGAGTAAATCTTATATACACTGACAGTGTATACACTGTCACCATTTGATTCATGACATGTGTGCAAAAATTGAATGTCAAATTCAAATTTTACATAATTGTCATTCATCCAGCGTTGATAGTATATATACTATCAGTGTAGGAAAGATTAATACTTTTTTTTGGGTCTCTCAAAATTCACTACTCATTGTGTTGCAGTAGTCCTTGCATTGTCAGTTGACTGACCACCCATTCTGTGTTGCTATTTAACTAAAAAAAAAGGAAAAAGAAGAAGAAAACATGTTGTGAATGTTTTACCGCTTACCGCATAATCTAGTGTTAAAATTTAAAACCAGATGTCGTATGTCGAAGGCTAGCATTAATAAACTTAGAAGAAGAAAAGTGCTTCATTGGTACGTAGACTCATTTGGGTAGCTTTCTGCACCTGGAGTAAGTAGCATTGAGGAAATTGACCGACAGTTTACCTTAGATATTTGAATTCGCCTATTTGCATCTTATGTTGGTTTCTAGTTCTGTCGGTAATTTGCTAACTTCAGTGATGTCCGCCGGTATCTGTAGGGTCGGCGCTATCCGTCCCGTGCACTATTTGGCTTATTTGATCCAAACCTTATTGATTAGATCTCTTTTTTTCCATATCAATGGACACGATTATTAAATACCCACTAAGAGAGGATTGAGCTAATGGGTACCCGTTCTATCCTGCTCATCATTTAATTTTTAAAAAGTATTTATATTAATTTAATTTTGTATATTCATTTAACATTCAACAAAGAATTTTCTAAAAAAAAAAAAAAAATTTCATATGAAGAAACAAATATGTAAAGAGAATATAAGAAAAAAAAACTAAAAAATTGAAAATCAATGAAAATTTGAAATAAGTAATACCTTTTTTAAAATATACATTCCACATCAATTAAACTCTTCCAAAAAAAAAATAAGATCATGATCTCTACAAATGAATATTATAAATAAACTATAGTCTCTCATACATTTATTGTAATTTGTTTAATGGAATTACTTAGTTAACTCAAAAAAAAAATAGTATGTATATAAAAATAACACGTGTGTGTTTTTTTTGCGGGAGGGGGGGGGGAGGCGGATCGCTTACTCGCAAGTTCTTAATTATATGATTTTAACTCGTCCTGCATATAGGCGAATACCCGACCTTTTTTTATCCGTCAAATAATACGAATTGAATACCATATTTTTCGATTCAAATATAATGTATTTTTGGATCAGTGGATATTTTTTCTTACACCTATATATCTATTTGTCTTGCGTAGGGTCATTGATTACATGCAAGTCATTGTGTTGAATAGCATGTAGCTCGCAGGCTTTCCATTGAAAGCGATTACCAACCAAATAACATATAATCAAAAGATCTTTTATAAAAGTTTGCCAATTTATGTATTACTACCAAAATTTGCTAATTTACGCGTCAAACTAGTCATAGGAAATATCGACAAGTACAATTACCAACCTTTTTTGTTTTGTATGAATCAATATTGGTAATTTTACATACATATTTTCCTTATTCTGTAAAGTCTTTGATATATTTTGTTTCACTTCTTCTTTCCTTGCTCCAAAATTTTAAGGTGGAAGAAAGAAGGAAAAAACAAAACAAAGGCAAACTGTGTGAGTCGATTCAAGCTTACCATTTCCAATTTGCATGTATAGCACCGAAATGCATGTAATAGGAATTACCGGAAATAAAATAATTGATGAGATTTTTTTTGGATAAATCTTATATATACCGATAGTTTATACACTATCATCGTAAGATGTACAACGTCTAATCTGAATTTAAATATAAAATTAATTTTTGTTGTGTGTCATGCATTTGACCATGATAATACACTGTCTGTATCTATCTTCCTTGATTGATTTTCAAGAAATGTTAACACACATAAAGAGAAATATGCAATAATTGATTATCTTATAAGGTATTTTTTTAATGAATTGTTAATGTATACACGAGCAGTATTAGATGAATGCCACGTAATTTAATTTCAAAATTGAAATTTAATTTTTACACATGTTGCACATATTCACAATAGTTTTTCTTACACCGGTAGAATATAAAAATTGGATACATTTGATGAAAATGACATACTCATTGAATTATTAAATTATTAATCTGATATATTTGAGTATATATTATATTAAATAATAACTGAACAGCATATCATTCATTCTCCGAAGTATCTTTTAAAAATACTGATGAAGTCAAACGGTAATGGAAAGAAAGTGGAATTGTAAGGGATGATCACCTTCCAAGCGATTTATTCTGTATTCCATTGGTACAGCGCCCCCGTCGAAAAGTCGTGCTTGACAGTGTTGAATTAGCCGCGAAAACGCGTGGGTGCAAACCAGGATTCTCACCGCTCCCAGACTTTCACCCCCAGCTCTTCGTGCTCCGCGGCGGGATTTAGAAATGAAATTACTAGCACTTTTTTCCCCCATAATTCTTAATTCGGAACTGAATTAGTACTAATAATACTTTCATCACCAACCATGGCTTTAGGTGGTGGGTGCGACAAATTCAGACTAAAAGGTTCTAATTTCCTCATTTACCCTTTCCTCGTCTCGCAAAAAACGTGTGCAATTATGCTCGCTGGGCTGTTAATTTAGGACTTCGGGGAGGGTTAAAAGATGGATTGTAAGAGGGGAAAGGGTAGATCTTGGATCCAAACTGCCACTATAAAAACCAATCCCCGCTCTCTCCGCGAACTGGTAGAGTATTTCTAGACAATTTTATTCCTCCTCCTTCAGATCTCTCTCTCTCTCTCTCTCTCTTACAAGCGCCACAGGAGTGATCCAAAGAGGTACAGTTTCCATTCTCACCAGTGCAATTTCCTAATTTGTTTCTTAAGTTTCTACAATTAGCTAATAGGCGTGCTTGAACCATCGATTACATTATTTCTATGATATATTGATACGTGCTTAGCATGTCGGAGATGGAGTTTTTCAATTCGATTTTGTGGATCAAATGCTACTGTTAATTATTGTTTTTGAGCATGGTTTCGTTTTGAGTATGCTCTTTTTTGGATTGTTACTCTTGTTTTTGGTTGGAAGTGCGGTTGACATCTTACTCTGCTTTTGAATTTGGTCCCCATTGCTTTGATTTTGTTAGATCTGTTAGCATCTTTATGAAATTTTGGATTTGGTCTGAAACGTATGCTGATTAGATAATGGTTTAGCTGCGATTAGTGGTTTTAAGCGCAATTAAACGAGCTTTCCGTTGATTCGCTCTTCTCATGCATGAATCACGGTGGATCTGTATTGAATTCCAGTAAGTAAGCGTGATGCATTAGAAAATTATGTTCCTGCTGTTGCTCGGATTGCGAAATATCTTTTTTCAGTGGAACAATGATTTGGATCTTTAGAAGGTTGTCTGATAGCTCATACTTGTTTGAGCTGAGTTCGTCGATCACGTGAAGAATGAGCTTTTAAAAAGTTTATTTGGTCTCTTACTGTTATCTTTTTTCTTCTACTTGCTAATATCAAGCTTTGAATTTTTCCCCCTAGCTGCAAAAGGGATATAAATGTGTTCAGATGTGCTAATTTTTTTTTTTATGATCCTGTCCTCTGTGTCAATCTAATGTTTCCCAGTTTTTTTGTTACTGATGTTTCAATTAATAAGATTCCCTTTCTTTTTGTGATCTAAAGATGTCTTTGTTTTATTTGGCAGCTTCTATTTCTGTATTTTCTTTTGATCTTCTGTATCACTGTGGATACAGAATGTTGCATTGAATTTCCTAGAATGTACTGAATAACTGTGCCCAAAACTTGACCCTTGGATAAGGGTGCGACATATGGCTTGAGCACCACTATTGGGGTACAATCTCAATGTGTGACATTTATAGTCCAAATTTGTATTATTATGGAATTTTTAGATTATGTAAATACATTTTTTGGACAAGGTTCTTCTAGATGCTTCCACCGATACTCTTACAGGAGTTCATGGGACCGAGTGGCGCTCATAGCACTGTCAATAATACATCTATCTTTTTGTGCCTTTAATACTCTTTTACTACACTCTTAGTGCAATTGTTGCTATACTGATGCTTGAATTCTATGATGGGCATTTCCAACAGTGGTGAACCAGTCTTAAATTGACAAAATGACATCTATTTTTAATTTTTTTGGTTGTCCCTGTGATCCATGAGGCTAATACAATGTTTTTATGTATAACCCCCAGATTGCAAAAGAAGAGGAACCATGGTGAAGATCTGCTGTATTGGAGCTGGATATGTCGGAGGGCCAACTATGGCCGTCATAGCACTTAAGTGCCCATCCATTGAGGTGGCTGTAGTTGATATCTCTGCTCCTCGAATTAATGCCTGGAACAGTGATCAGCTTCCAATTTATGAGCCAGGTCTTGAAGAAGTGGTGAAGGAGTGCCGTGGCAGGAACCTCTTCTTTAGCACAGCTGTGGAGAAACATGTATGTGAGGCAGATATAGTCTTTGTTTCTGTCAACACTCCCACCAAGACCAGAGGTCTCGGAGCAGGCAAAGCTGCAGATCTAACATACTGGGAGAGTGCAGCCCGCATGATTGCTGATGTCTCAAAATCTGACAAAATTGTTGTTGAGAAATCAACAGTTCCAGTCAAGACAGCTGAGGCCATTGAAAAAATTCTGACTCACAACAGCAAAGGAATTAACTTCCAGATCCTCTCAAATCCTGAGTTTCTTGCAGAGGGAACTGCAATTCAGGATCTTTTCAAGCCCGACAGGGTCCTCATTGGAGGCCGGGAAACCCCTGGAGGCCAGAAAGCTATTCAAGTGCTAAAAGATGTTTATGCTCAGTGGGTTCCTGAAGATTGCATCATCACCACCAATTTATGGTCTGCTGAGCTCTCAAAGCTTGCTGCAAATGCATTCCTGGCACAGAGAATCTCATCTGTTAATGCCATGTCAGCGCTTTGTGAGGCAACTGGAGCAGATGTTACTCAGGTATCTTATGCTGTTGGAAAAGACACAAGAATTGGTCCCAAGTTCCTCAATGCTAGTGTTGGATTTGGTGGCTCTTGCTTCCAGAAGGACATTCTGAACCTGGTTTATATTTGTGAGTGCAATGGCCTTCCTGAGGTGGCAGAGTACTGGAAGCAAGTTATCAAGATAAATGATTACCAAAAGAATCGTTTTGTCAACCGCTTGGTTTCCTCAATGTTTAATACAGTTGCAAATAAGAAAATTGCTGTCCTAGGTTTTGCTTTTAAGAAAGATACTGGCGATACAAGAGAGACCCCAGCTATTGATGTCTGCAAGGGGCTTTTGGTGACAAAGCAAGGGTGTGCATATATGACCCACAAGTGACTGAGGATCAAATCCAGAGAGACCTTAATATGAACAAGTTTGATTGGGATCATCCCTTGCACCTCCAGCCAATGAGTCCCACCACTGTCAAGCAAGTCAGTGTAGTTTGGGATGCCTACGAGGCAACCAAGGATGCCCATGCTGCATGCATTCTCACAGAGTGGGATGAGTTTAAGACTCTTGATTACCAGAGGATATATGACAACATGCAGAAACCAGCTTTTATCTTTGATGGTAGGAACATTGTCAATGTGGATAAGATGAGGGAGATTGGGTTTATTGTGTATTCAATTGGAAAGCCACTGGATGCCTGGCTCAAGGACATGCCTGCTGTTGCTTAAAATGCAGCCTTTGATCTTGTGGCTTGTATCAGGACCAGTGAAGATAGAAGTGAAGCAGTCAGCGGGATTCATTACCATTTTTTTTTTTTCCATAGACTCAGTTTCTGATCTTTACGTTTTTGTTTTGTAGTCAAGAGGACCTTTGGCGTCGCTGTCTCCATTTTAAGTAAGAAGCTTTGTGTTTACCCTTACATTGTATTTTGATGATACTACATTTTTGCCGTTGGCTGTAAGGACCTGATTTCTTCCTTTTTTGGTTTATAAAATGATTACGAGTTCTAGAAACCCGTGTTATTAGTGCATCATGACTGGGTATGAATTTGCCAGTATATCTGGTCCTCCTGCGCAACAGTTTCTTCTGTGCACGGGTTAATTGCTGGCAGGAAACCATTTCAGCTGCGCATTTATACAAGAAAGTGTTCCCTTCGTGATCTTTCGTTGGTGCACTGAAAACTAACGGTCAATTTAGTACTTGGAAAACATTTTCAAAGGCTCTGTTGCTATGTTTGAAACTTCAACTTCATCTCGCCGCTGTGATGGTTGGATTGGCTCCGATGATATCGAAGTGATTGATAATTGCATTAGAACTTGGAAGCTGGATTCATGTTTGACTCTGAAATTAGAATCTTCTGAGACAGCAGAGACCTGAATGGGTTTGGGATATCAGGAGGTCATGCATTCCTACAACAAAGATAAAACAGTTTTGGGAGGTGTATTATCAGATGTTGATTCCGCGTAGCATCTGCGATTCTACCACCCCATCCCTCACCTTTTCTTGAAGTTAATAGTCTTTGTTCGTTATTATTTGGCTTCATACTACACGGTTCATCGGAGTTATGCTCTAATTTTCACGTTGGATAAATATTTTATCTATTTTTAAAATGCTCTCTATCTCCTTCTTATGTGCGGGTTATTAACCTGTTCAACAGATTACTTTCAATATTTTTCCAATTAAGAGAGAGTGGAGACGAGACGAGAACAACTTTAACAAAATTCTGGAATTTTTCACCCAACCCCAACACGGGCAGGATAGCGAAAATGGGCCTGGATGGAGAGGTGGGGTCCAACCGTTTACCGTTCTCTACTTTCTTTGGGCCTCAAGTGAGCTGGATACATTTCAAGCCTGATTGATCTCCTTCTTTGACCTTTGAATGGGTTTCAGATGAAATCAGGGTCCGGTTAAATTATCAGAGGATAATTTGGAAATTGGAGATTATAGATTTGTCACGAGCAGTTACATAATAATGGCAAGTGACAGCTCAAAAGTCAAATTCCGGTTGAATTATCCAGACCTGGAATTTCCCAAGCACGCCTTTTTCTCTGAGGCTTTCAAAATTTATCCTGTTCATAATCACGCCTCGTGCTTCTCACAGGCATGTATTTTTAGCTGTTCCAGACTGGCCACTATGAAGGCGTGATTTCTTATTTACCAGACATCCCCTTTCAAATGACAAACATTGCAGGGAAAAGAATTTTGCCCAAACCTGCCCCCATTCTTCCTTCCTATGATTCAGTATCAAACAGATTGGTACCTTCGTGTACGATCACTTGCTTCTCAGTAGCATAGTTGATATGCCCTCGTTTCCAATTCGAGCAAGGCCAAAAGGATTAGAGGAGGGACCGGCTTCCACACCGGAGGAGAACTTCGCCTTCAAGCAACAGAGAATGTGGAATAGGTAGGGCAGTTTTTTTAACTTGTTGCAGCAAAGCAAGAAACCAAAAATGACAAAAAGGAAAGCTACATCGATTTTCTCCTTCGATGTGTGGGAAAGGACCAAGGAGAGAGCCCCTTCAAGTTCAAGGTGATTTTGATAACCAGCAAACCACTCCTTTAGCAGACCGACTTTTGTTGAATGGCTGTTTTCCCATCTCATTTAATGCCATTTGCCACGTCTTCACCACAAAGTCCTCTCTCCACACCAGAACTCTGTAAGATCCACCAATTTCCAAAACATTTTTTCTTTTTCTTTCACTAGAAAAGTCAAAGATGGATTTGGTAAAAAGAACTCTACTATTAGTATTACTTGGTGCTATTCAGCATTCACCAAAAAGACCAAAACCCCACACGATTGAACTTCTCATTAATCCCTTCAAAATTCAAATAAATGAGAAATCGATTTAGTTTATGTGCTTACGCCTTCCCCCAAAAATAGAAAAACCCAATTTCATTCGCAGTGGCAAATTAAGTACATTTACACGGGCCAGAACACACATACACCTATATATGTAGTCAAGCCAGCGTGTCATATCTTTGCTTCCATGCAAGGCCTCGTCCTCACTAAATAGTAAAGGCCATATGGAGCATTGTGGAATGTGGGATGTGGTCTAAAGAAGCCATCGCACCAGCACGAGAGAGAGAGAGAGAGAGAGAGCTTTCTCTGTCTTTGTTGGGTGCGTTTGACAGGAGAGAAGTCGTTCAGCTTCTGCCTCCTTTATATATATACACACACACACGCGCTATTTTCTTGGGTAAATGAAGAGCCGGAGATAAAAGTTTAGACCTGGACCTCACTTCGTCATTTCGCATAGGGTTTCTGATGAGTCATCAGATCTTACTTTGTCTTGTTCATGAATGCTCAGAAATTTTGATGACTTGAGCAAGATCTAAGTGAACTTGTTTCTGATCTGGGTTTCATTTGATTCCTCTGTTTTCTCGGAATCTTGAGCTTTTTTGTTGGTAGGTTCGGTAATATTTGAATTACTTGAACTTTCTTGAATTGGGATTATTGCTCTTGAATCACTCAATTGGTTTTGCTTTGACAGTTCAGTGATGGAAGAAGTTCAAGAACAGAAGTTTGTATGCAAGTTTTGCAACAAGTGTTGCTTCAGCGGTAAGTCATTAGGTGGTCATATGAGGCGTCACCTAGCTTTGATTGCTGCTGCAAAAAAGGAGAAAGTGAAAGCCGACATCAACGTGGGTTTTGGAGGAGGTTATGATCATGATGACCATCATGATCATGGTGATTTCGGGCTCGAAGAGAATGCAACAAATTCTTGCAGATTTTCAGCAGAGCAATCCAGCAGTAGTTTGATTCCAGAAAAGGTCGACAATCACAGCAGCAGCATGAATCTTGAAAACGATGATCATGATCAAGATCAAGATAACTATGGCCTAAGAGAAAACCCTAAGAAATCTTGGAAGATTTCTGATTTAAGGGCCTGTGGTCTCCAAGAAAAGGAAATATTTGCAAAGAATGTGGGAAAAGGTTTCCCTCATCAAGGGCTCTGGCAGGTCATAGAGGACTCACTCTGGGAAATTCAAGGGTCGACATCCTTGCAAGAAATGCGGCAAAGCTTTTGATTCAATGAGAGCAATGTATGGGCATATGAAAAGCCATCCTAAAAGATCAAGGGTCTCCTCTGAATCTGCAGACGGCATATCAGATTTTGACATTGTGTATCCAAGGAAGAAGAGATCAGTGATGAGGTACAAATCTAGTCACAGTTTCTCCTATTCTACTGCAAATGCATCGTCTTCTCTTAATGAGAATGATGAAGTAGAAGATGCTGCTATCTGCCTGATTATGCTTTCGAGGGGTGTGAGCAATTGGGATGGAGTTGATTGCCTCTTGTGTATACTGATAATGCTACCTCTGCATATTTTGAAGCCAAGTCAGTTTCTCTTCCAGAGGAAAGCACTAAAGTTGATGCAGAAGATGTTGTAGGTAATCCAGATGAGGTTGAAATGCCAGAGAAGCCAATAGAAGAGCTATATTCTTGTTTTTTTGGGTCGGCTAACTCTTTGTCTAACCAGAATGTATCTCAATTTAACGAATTGAGCTCTGAATTTGCCAGTGGCAATGAGAAGAAAGCTGAATTGGAATTTCGTGTTTATGAGCCTCTCTGCAGAGGTGAACCCAATGAGTCTAGGCTGCTTGATGTATCTGGTGTTGAGTTGGATGGCTCTGATTCTGCTGGAGTAGTTGAACCTTGAAGGATCAAAGTAAGGCAGTTGGAATGGATCAAGAAGATATACAATTGATGGATCCTAATCCATGTAAGAAAGTAGAGTTCAATGCTCATGCTCCAGAGTTAGAGATATGTTCTTCCGACAGAGCAGATACTGCTGATGAAATCTTCAGATTTCAGAAAAGAAACGAGAGTACAGATGCAGGGCCTGCAACATGAGCTTAGCTCGCATCGAGCTCTGGGAGGTCACAGCAATAAACATAAAATAAATGGTCATTGCTCTGCTTCGGGCACAGAGTCCAGCCATCTGACTGATATTGAGTGCAATGGCACTTCGGCTGAGGCTGGTAGTGATGGAGTGGCCATGGCAGATTTGCAGTTGACTAAAACCAAGGACCATGAGTGTCCTATATGCTTCAAGGTTTTCTCCACAGGCCAAGCTCTAGGTGGTCACAAGAGGGCACATTATGCTGGTTTTAGTGAGAGCAGAATTAAGGAGATGACAGCTGCAAATCAGGAGCTTCGTGATATTCAGAATGTCTTTGATCTGAATCTCCCAGTAATCACTTCATCCAGGGGCCAGAGATGATGGTATTAGCCTCAAGGCATGGTATGAGCCCCTGGTGATTTCCAATTGAGAAACTACTTGATCCTCATTTTCCCCGAGGTCATACACAGTGAAGACTCATTTTACTCTTATTTGACATTGATATTCGTCCTTGAAATATTGTGGCTGACAGTTTATAAAACGGAAGAGAAGATTCAGGCTGATTTTGCTGGTAGATTCAGAAATGTTGATAGTTTCAGTAGCGTTGACATTTTTCTCCATATTGATTTCTTCTTGTCTTCAGTTAACCAGCAGAAAGTCTGAATTGTTAATACATCAAAGCTCATATTTTGTTCATCTATTCATCAATTGAACGATTTTATGGACCTTACTTGTGGATTGTCACTGAATGGTTTTTCTTTTTGTTTTCCCGTCCTACTTTGTGCCTCATTTTCCCAAGGCAACAAAGATGGGTGGGCAATAGTCTCTTGATTATGCTGTTTTTCTTTGCAAGTTATTTGCCTTATCTGTTGAGCATTGTTGAAGGCCTGCTGCTATTGACGTTTTGTCAATGACTGGAGGTTGAGGGGCTACATGTAGTTCAGTGACCGTGCATTTTGTTCAACGGATGGCTAAGAGGTCATTAATCTGTTCCAGTTAGTTGGAAGAAAGCACGCTTGATGTTTCTCTAAGCAATATTAAAATCCAGAAAAGATGGCGTCTGAGATTAAGGTGGTTGTTTAGTCACCTACCATGTACATCAGAACGACTACTATCTTAGTGCCATGTCTTTATCTTTTTAGTTGGAAATATACAAAGCTCATGCACCTCTTCAAGGTCTCTTACGTGTTGGGCAAATATTTAAAATCAACCTATCTTTTTCGTGGCCCCTCGATCTTTCTCTTTAACACTTTGTCCTCGTAATTTAAAACATTTTTTTTAATAGTAAAAATAGGTAGACGGCAACGCAGGTTAGATACCCATTTGGCTGACTCGACTTGTACCTTACGGGTCAACTATTTTCTGACCCTAATCGGATAAAATTGGATCAATGGGTACATCTTCCGCCCAACTTATCATTTAATTTTTTTTAAAAAAAATGATTTATACTAATTTAATTTTATATTTTACACATTCATCTATAATTTAATAAATATTTTTTTTTCAAAAAGGTCTCCCACTAAGAAACAAACATGCGAAGAGAATAAAAAAAAAGGAAAAAATTAAAAGAATTCAAATCAATAAAAATTTAAAATAAGTAGCATATTTTTTAAAATATATATTTCATATTTAATTAAACTCTTTTCTATAAAACATAAGATCATGATCTTTACAAATGAATCTTATAGATAAACTATAATCTCTCATATTTGTAATACAATTTGTTCAATAAAATTGCTTATTTATTTTTAAAAATATTATTTTATAGTATGTGTATAAAAATTTAAAAAGTAAAAAATATACATGCGAGGCGGGTTGGATCAGATACCCACCGATTTTTAATCATGTGACCCTAATCCGCTTCGCATTTTAGCGGGTACCCAACCCTTTATTGATCCGATCAAATAATACAGATCAGATATCCTAATTTTCGCATCGAGTACATCGAATTTTCGAGTTTGCGGATAATTTTGCATGCCCCTGGAGGGCATGACTTCGACTGTTGGGAGAGAGTTTACGAAAGTAACAAATATACTTTGCCCTCAAAGTACTTTTACTTGGCGGTGACATTTTGCTTTGGGTAAGTTACCAGTTGTGCAATTTTGTAAAGCATTTATTTTGTATATTAAGAGAATACCTTGTGAAGTGATCCACCATGGGGAAAAAACAAAAAACAAAAGAAAAAAAGTGATCCACCGGGAAGAAGAAGAGCACACGTCTCTCTCCCTATACTCCTGAAGAAGAAGAGCACACCGCGTAAAAGCAGACATTGGTGAAATAGTCAGGCAGTTGGGCTTCTCATGTTTCTTTTCCTTTAGGCTTTTAGCAAGTCTTTATGCAGTTTAGTTATTTTATTGATGCGACTAGCAGCTAAGTAAAATAATTTCTTCGGTTTTAATGATGAAGGCTCCCGCCGCGACCGTCATGGCGCAATGTGCCTGCTGAATTTGACCATTTGACATCCTATCGTCCACAAGTCCAAGGGCATTACGCATTAGCCCACCCCCCAATCTGTGCAATCGCGTCAATGGGTGTTTAATATTTTCCGTTTTGCCAGAGGCCAACAGAATTCTAAAACAATCTCTGTGGCTCAAATTCTTTGTTGCCCCGCATCTGTATGTTGTTTGGTTTGCAAGTTTTCGAGGAAAAAAATTTTATATTTTCGTGAATATATTTTTTAATCACATTTTTACATCACGTACATTAAATTAGTATATATTTTTTTACGAAAGCTTCAAAAAGTAGCAATCAAACGAGGCCTTAGAGGAGATGTGCAATCGATAAATGTCTTCTTTTAATTTGTATTTATTTTTAGGAATCTCATCCACCACCCATTTTAAAATAATTACACATTAAATTCAATTTTTGGCGTATATAAAGGAATAAATTTGAATTTCTTATCAATATGATCACAATAAAATGTCGTTATTTCCTCTCAAACCACATGCAAAGAGAAAAAAAATTATAGAGTTTCAAGTGAATTATAAATAGGTAATTAGATATATTCATAGCAATCTAAAAAATTAGGTATATTCATAACAGTCTAAACTACTATAAAAACGAGAATGGGTAGAATTGGATTGCCAATTGAGCTGGTCAATTGTTTTGACTGGGCTATGTATTTATTTTGACTGGATTTGGTTATTTGGTAATTTACAACAATTGCTGTGGTTTTTCCCAACTGGAACTGCAATTCACTTGAATTCAGCAGTGCACTTTGGGCGGTGCAATTACTTCGAGCGGGGCATTTATTTTGACTGGTGTTGGTTATTTGGTAATTTGGATGAATTCCACTGGCTTTTGAGTGATGGATCGGTTATTTTGTAGTATGGATTAAATTAAGTGGGTCTTTCGTAATTTGGCTTGCTGTCATGGTGCCGGCTAGTGGTGTTCACACTTCAAAAAAAAAAAAATTTTGAAATATCGATAAAATGGAATTCGGAAAATCGATTAAGATCCAATTCTAATATTTGATAAAATAGTTTAAAAACGGATATTGAAATTCAATTTCCAAATTTTCGAGTACCAAATGAATTATTGAATTTCATATTTTAATTAAATATTTTATATATTTTAGGCCTACTAATATATCATATTACATATTAATATATTACTTTTTTTTTTGTCAGCAACGATACATTTGTATAACCTACTCTATCCTAATCTAGGGGGAGGGGGAGCCTAAGAAGGCTGTGGTTAATATATTACTCGATACTGTTATAAGTTATATTTTATGATCACGCCTCTCTTCCTCTCTCTCATATCAGGCATTTTCTTAATGTCGCTCACCTGCATGCCTACCTCTCTAAATGTTTAGTCAAAAGTCTACTCATTAATCTTAGATCATCCCTTGTTATGAATGCCTATCATCAAAATATTGGCTATGATAAGAATATATTTTTTGGTTATTTGGCAATGGCAATTCTTCTTTATTTGGCACAAATGAGTTGATCCATTTGTTAAATGAATATAAATCGATTGTTCCAATTATGACCGTTTGGAACTGCTTGAGTCACCCATTCTTGCGCCTTTAGTAACAAGCGAGCTCAAGTCTTGGGCACTTGGCGTGGGTGTCGTATTATTACTTACATTTTTTTTTTTTGTAACTCGGAACGTGCTTTGACTCAAGTTTTTTGGATCCGAGTCAGCACACCAAATTAGAGGCAACGCTGTGACTCTATGCAACGTTTACACGGACTAGTCATAAGGTATTTTCAGGAAATAGTTTCGATTCCGAGACCTTTGCGTCCAAAAGATCGCTGTTATTACTGGACCAACCCCGTGGGACACTATTACTGACATTGCCCATGAATGGCTTGGGTTGTCGTCTACGGCCATACTATTACATTCAAACTGGGCTCATTGTTGGACCTCACACCTTGGGCTTACGACTCATACACCCACATTTTATTGAAGCAAAATCCATATTCACGAACTTCTTGTTTTGTCTTAAAAAAGGGAAAAATCCTCCTCTGTTTCCCCCGGACTGAATCTGAACCCTGATGAATGTAAATCCCCAAGCAGCGGAGTCTCATGGACAATAGCAGGATGGGGGATGAAATGCAGCAAAACCCACCATTATTAAACCCGCCTACAATCTCCTCCTCAACTGTACAGATAGATTCGTATCCTGGACAAATTTATTACCTCCAATCCCAAAACCCTATGCCTAACTCTGATCCTAATTGCTTTACAAGTAGTAGTTTGAATGCGCTAATAGTTCAACCACCTGGGGTTGATCCCAGCACGCCTGTGACTGTGAAGCGATTGGCAGCCACGTTCCTTCTGGTTATGAAGCGCCCCAACTGAGCTTGGCCTACACTTACTCCCAGGCCGTGGCCTCTGCCTCTGCTCCCTATTATCAAGATCCAAACGCTGCTATTACGCCGTATTGTTTGAATACTTATGCCGAGGTAAACTTTTTGCCACTTTACTCCCTTGCTCTTCCCCCCACCCTCCTCTCCCCCCCCCCCCCCGGGGTGAGGTTGGGGATGGGTGAAGTCGTCATGGATATGATTAATCTACTATTATGATTTTGCTTAAGTTCTTTAATTAGCATTTTGTTTCGCATACTTTAATTCATTTAGTTTGATCAATTTCAGAAAAGCACGAGAAGCTAGTTGGTTTTCATTAATCTTGTCTTCTGCCTTTGCGTTATGTGTAGCTTGTGTATGATTTGGGGCCCGGTTAAAAGCAAGAGATTGAACTTTTACCCAGAGTTAGTTATGAGTTAGTGCAAGAAGGGGCAGTTAATGAATCCGGAAAGTTGCTTGTTAAACCAAAAAGTAAACCTGCTCTTCCTTCTGTGTACTGGCTCGGATTTGTGCAATTAATAATCGGTGTCGCGAAATGAGAAACTGAAGATGTGCTGCCTGGATGG